AAATATCCATATATCATTACTTTAAATTGTTTTAAAAGCCACTTGGCCAGCCCTGAGCTAGCGGGTCATCTGTTCTTGCTCCAGCACTAAAGGAAGACAGAAGACTTCCTCCCGAGCCATGATGGATATGGACTCCGGGTTATGTTCACAATGGATATTTCACAACTTCCCTTGAAAATGATTGTGGCCTAGTTTTTCTCCCACTTAAAAGGTGGTTGTTCAAAATAAAGAAAGTAAACAAATTAATTAAAAAATAAGAGTTGGCTATTCAATATTAACTCAAGCCACTTGGACTGCCATTTAACCCTAGAGCTTATCAAGTTGGTATACTGGGTGTAACCCAAGTCTAAGGGCTTGTATAATTCAATACCTCTCCTGGAATTGCCTCAAAAATCATGTTCATCTTAGTTGCCTATTTTCTTGTATTCTTACTCTTCAAAACTAATCTCCACAGTCAATTTAGCCAAGCTCAAAGATAGCAATGATCCAAAGAAGTACAGACTAGAAGCAAGATCACATTTTCCTTTGGCACTAGCTCCCTCAGTTTTACAAAGCCTAGACACATCCCTTCCCTCCTGTGAGCTTCAGCTCCATCTGTACAGGAGAGCTGTGGAAATGCTAACAAACTAACCACAGGCTCTAGGTACTAACAACTTTTCAAATTCAGGATGTTCTGCCTGTTTCTGAACTCAAAGATACAGGAATCGGGTAAGGTTCTAACTAATTTTGCTAAGTCAATAACCAGAACAAAGGATAGATTTTGGGTGAGCCTTTTGGCTAGAAAAACAAGAGTACTGTTTACTGAGCCTGCAAACTTGAAAGAAAAAAAAGGAGTAAAAAAAATTCATGATTTTTTTTTTAAAGTAGGCTGGATATAGTGGTGCATGACCTTAAAGCCAGCCTTGGGAGGTAGAGTCAGGTGGATCTCTGTGAGCTTGAGGCTAGCCTGGCCTACATATCAAGTTCCAAGATAACCAGGAGCTATGTAGAGAGACCCTGTCTAAAATAAAAAGATCGAGAGAGAGAGAGAGAGAGAGAGAGAGAGAGAGAGAGAGAGAGAGAGAGAGAGAGAGAGGAGAGAGAGGGAGGACCAAGGAGTTAACAGGCTTCAAAGAGAACAATTTGGTTTTGCACTGAACAAAGACACTGGTCATTTATGCTTTTGTTCCTTTCTACAAACATTTGCTGAGTTCTACAACAAAGCAATCTGACATTTAATATCTGGATATTTAACTCTAAATCAAAGTCTGGTTCCTGAATGGACTAATCTACTCCAAAGTTCAGTCTACAGGAAGCAGGGTGGTGCCTTTTTCCTTCTGCTGGTCAGACACCCAAGAAGCAAGAGGAGAGCTGAGGGCAGCTGTCTTCAAGGTGGCCCCTGAACCAACACCAGCAAACTGTTACAAGTCCCAACTCTCAGGCTGCCAGTCTAGGGAACAAGTTTTGGATGTGGGCTTTCAGTCTTGTTTTAGTGGAGCCCCCAAAATAATTCCGAAGACACAATGGAGAATCATGGCTGAATATTAACAATAGATTTTACGAATGTGAGACTAAATGAAATGAGTAACAGACTTTTTTCCCCGGGGCAGTGGTGGCGCACGCCTTTAATCCCAGCACTTGGGAGGCAGAGGCAGGCGGATTTCTGAATTCGAGGCCAGCCTGGTCTACAGAGTGAGTTGCAGGACAGCCAGGGCTACACAGAAAAACCTTGACTCAAAAAACAAAAAAAAAAAAAAACAAAAAAAAAAGACTTTTTTCAAATGCAAATTTCTTAACTAAAGTAATAATGTTCATTCAAACGAATAAAACAATGAAACTCTGGAATATCAGAATAGTAAAATAAAATAGAATTTTTATAAATTTTTAGTTGGAACAATAAACCTGTACAGAACTTTTCTAGCTTGTCACTTTTTTCATAAACCTAGATAGAACCATATATCTTTCCTTTAGCCTCTCAAAATAAAATCTTCACTCAATTTCCTTAATGAAGGTTCAGTCTTCAGATTTACAAACAAAAATACCCCACATCTATTGTCCTTCCTAATGCCACAGAAATTACCTCAGGCTGACATCATCTCCCGGGGGCCTTAGTCTCAGGTGTAGCAGCCTGAGCGCCCTCCAACCACTCACTAGCTAGACTATCTAGAGGAACAGTTCTTAACCTTCTTGATGTTGCAACCCTTTAATACAGGTTCCTCCTGCTGTGGTGACCCCCAGCCATAGTTATTTTTGTTGCTACTTCATAACTGTAATTTTGCTATGGTTATGAATCGTAATATAAATATCTGTTTTCAGATGGTCTTAGGTGACCCCTGTAAAAGAGTCAGTCTTTTGAACTCCAAAGAGGTTGCTACCTGCAGGTCGAGAAACCCTCCATTCAAACGTAACTATGTCACATCTTCCTACTAAAAATCAATGCCTGTGACTCCAGATTACAGAATCAAACCCAAGGTCCTAACCCTCTCTACAAGCTCTGCTCCCTTACGCTCAACTCAAGACCACTACCTAACGCATTCTAAATGGTCTGTTTTCTCTTTTCTCTATGCTTTTTAATCCAATCGGATCCCCCAGTTTCTTTGGCAACTCCAGCTCCCTAGAGACTGTTGCAGGCAGAGTCCACCAAAGAGAGGAGACTCTGTCTGTCAAGGAGTGCAGAGTAAGCGGTCCACTGGAGTTGTGAAGAGACCATCCGCATGTTTTGATGGCATCCTTTAAACCTATTCCTATGCTTGTTTTAATGTTATCCTTTAAACATATTTATAGTACTATTTAGCACATTCAAAACAAATACATTGTTTATAAATATACATTTATTAGGAGTTCCTGTTCAGGGTTTCCCCCTCATTAATGGCAGGGCAGGGTAACAGAATAGGGAGAGGACAGATAAACTTGCAAGTGTAAGACCCTATGCAATCACCCCTCTGAGGGAAACCTTAAATTGCTACTCATTATTGTGACTGAGGCAACTTTTGACCAGGTCCTGTGTCTCTTTCCTATGATCTCAGGAGGGAATGTTCCCAGGGACTTTCCCAGGGAGCATTTAACTCACTAGGGATGAAAGCACCTCTCCCAGATCACAGAGCTGGGCTGGCAATCATGACGTGTTGTGAGAATTTAAAGGATACTGGAGATAGGGGACAGGGGACGCCTGTCCCCACCTATTTGCTTCTGATAGGTCATAAAAATAACTGAGTCAGTCAAGCATGACCATCAGACTCAGGAAACAGGCTCAAGTTTTTCTCCAGCTCAGTAGCATCCTGTCATTATTTACAGTTTTTCGGGCACGGGGAAATAACCGCAGGGATAGCTAGCTTATCATAACTACTACTCAAGTGGCAACAGCTGAACAGACCTCAGAGTTTAGAGTGTTTGAAGGCTACGGATGTGGCTCAGAGGTAGCAGGACTTGCCTACCATACTCTGAATTCTTCTATGTACAATTTCTCAGTTAAAGAAAGACCTTATGGTGCTTTATTTCAAAACTCCCTCCGTGAGACAGGTCTGCATTCAATGATAATATATTCAAATAAGGATTCAAGTGGGTGGAAACTCAAGAGAGACAACCCCCAGCTGTTGTGCAACCCACAAAGGTTAAAACCTTTCTAATTTCGATACATCTTATGATGCAGCTTACAAAAAAAAAAAAAAAAAAAAAAAAAAACAATTAAGAGCAGAGCAAAACTAAGCACGCCAACCTTAGGACCAGAACTACACGAGCACACTTGGAAAGAGAAACAATCCTCACACACAACGCATGCCCCCAACTTCTCCACCTCAATACCTCCGCGGGCTCTTTTCCCGAATCCCCTCCAGGCGAGCTAAGGAAAGGCTTCATGGCTTGACCTTCTGCGTCTAGTGAACTGGTGAGCGATCATCTAGGATGACCTCCCCCCTCTCAGTGAACCGCAGGACACACGGCCACGTCCAAAAAGAAAAAAAAAAAAAACGAAATCTCCCTCTTGCAACGTTACGTGTGTTAAAAAAAAAAAATAGAGTGCCTTCCCTAGATGACCACTAGGTTATTAACTCCAAATAGGACCGGGTCCTCCTCCCCCCCAAAACCGAGCCGTTTGGGAAGCGACAGGAAGAGTCCTAGGTGGCTCCAAAAGTAAGATTCGGCCCACCTTCTATTCTAGGAACACCCTCCATCCCCAGGGGCCAATGCGCGCCAGGCTTGTCACGCTGCACGTCGTTGGGGGTGGTGGGGAAGCAAATTCTGCAGGGGCCACCAGGTACTCCATCCCTTCCCCGACCGTGGTGAGGGGGCGCCCGGGGGAAGGCGGGGGTCGGCGCCAAGCACGGCGGCGCTGGGCCGCGGCCAGGGATGAGATCAGCCCCGCCGGGTGTTGCCCGCAGGTTGCATCAGACGCCGCTCCGGGCCCCCGCCCGCTCCGCCAAGCCGCCAGGGGCCTTCCGGGCCAACCTGCTCAATCGGGCAGGGCCGGATCTCCTCGGGCCGGGCCGGGCCGGCGCCTACGCGAGCGGCGGGCTCGGCCGCGGCCTCCTCCCCCAACCCGTCCGAGCTAGAAGCCGCGGCCTCCTTACCTGCGTCTCCGGCCGGCCCGCCCGCCCCCAGACAGCCTCCACTCCGAGCGGCCCCGCGCGGCGCGGTCCGACTCGACCGAGGCCTCGCAGCCCGCGAGTCGGCGAGGTGGAGCGACGGTTACGAAACCGACAGCCTCCGCCCGTTCCGCCACCGCGGCCACCGGCTTTCCCCTCCTCTTCGGGTCCGCGCGCTGCCGCCGCCGCCGCCGTGACCAATAAGAATCGCTGCTCGGAGAGCGACGCGCCCGCCCCTCGAGACGGGCAGCGCCAACCGCCAATCACAGGCCGTGTGGCGGCGGGAGGCGGGCGCGCGGCGGAGCAGGCGTGGTGGGCGTGGCAGCACCGGCGCAGGCTGGAGGAGCGCTCCGCGGTCTGCCCCTCAGGCTGCTGGTGGTGGCGGGCGGCGGCTCGGAGCCGTGGGAGTGACCCGTGGCGAGAAAAGTTCTGTGAGCGTTATGAGAGCCTCACCGACCTTAGGGAAATTACGTTTCCTCAGGTGGACTTTTGAGTTACTGATTTTGTTTGTTTGTTTGTGTTTGTTTAGGCCTCGAGGCCCTGAGGTAGCTGCAAACTTTATTTTGACAAAAGCGCGTTAAGGAAAAAAAAAAATGTCCAATGCTAGGGTTAGCACTTGTCACATTCTTGAGAACAGCGGATTGTGGCTCCCAGACAAATCACGATTTCCAAAGTGTTCTTAAAAATGACAAGCAGTCCAGCCAGATTCTCCCAAACAGTTCACAAGAGGATCAAAAAGCGGTTTTTGTTTTTGTTATTGTTGTTTGTTTTTGTTTTAAAAAAAAACAGGAAGCAGCGCAATGGATGGAAGGCACAGCCTGCGGGATAGATTTGATTGCTTCCTCTTTAGCAATGTTTATCATTCAAAACTCGCTGGCTTTCAAAAAGGAAATGTTTCTTCATTGCCAAGGCTAAGAGAGCAGCTCTCCACTTAGACTTCGAGGAATCCCTGAAAGATGAGAATACCTGCAAAAAAGAAAAAAAAAAAAAAGCAACCACGGAGAATGACCCCTGATAACCCCATGCACACTTGGGGAGCTAATGTCTCAAAACCAGTATGTCCCGAATATTTTCAAATCCTGTAAAAACTATAGGAAATAAAAATATCCTTGCATATCATATATATATTGAATTAGCCTCTTTTTTGCCAGCCACCCTGCCAGCTGCATTCTGTGTTGTGTCTAAGCAAAGACAGCAGTCAATGCCCAGGAGTCTTGAGATTTCCTCTTTAGCTGATACCCTGTAATTCTTTTCCTGTTTACAAATATGGGCCAGCTAGGTGCTAAGGTGTGGACTAAGACTCAGCAATGAAGAAGATAAACACACCGTCCCTGCCTACAGGGAACTTACTCTGAGAACCACAAAGACATGATTCAAGCCCCATTTTCATAGATGCTTAAGGAAAGAAATCCAAGATGTTAGGAGAGATTGTAAGAAGGGGACCAGACCTGATCTGATGCATCAGAGAAGGCTTAAAAGATGAGGAGGGTTTGGTTTTGCTTAGAAGCCCTATGATGGCCGGAACATAGAAGCCCCAGTAGGGTAGGGCCGACCACGTGAGCAGAACAATGATTTTGATGGGGGGCAGGGCATTGAACACAGGGCGTGTCACATACAGGGTAACACTCCTCTACCACTGAGCCAAAACCCAGCCCAGGAGGACCTTGTTTTACCGCCAGCAATTGTAAACATTCAGCATAAGGACATGAGAACCTAGGGAAGACTCTGCCTCCAGGTTGAGGAAATCTAGGTTGTTTTCTTGCAAGCCACGAAAACTTAAGCCATGCCAGTAAAGGGAAGTGTCCTTTGTATAACTGTGCCCTGCTAATGTCCAAATATATTCTAGAAACCAAAAGATGTTGTAATCCAGCAGTATATTAAAGTCTCCTTCAAAGGACTTAAGAAGCCAGGCAGTGGCAAGGTGGCGCACGCCTTTAATCCCCAGCACTTGGAAGGCAGAGGCAGGTGGATTTCTGAGCTGTTCAAGGCCAGCCTGGTCTACAGAGTGAGTTCCAGGACAGCCAGAACTACACAGAGAAACCCTGTCCCGAAAAACAAAAAAAAAAAAAATAAAACAAAACAAAAAAAAAAACAAAAAAAAAGGACTTAAGAAGTAGGAGATCCTGGGGCTGGAGAGATGGCTCAGCGGTTAAGAGCACTGACTGCTCTTCCAGAGGTCCTGAGTTCAAATCCCAGCAACCACATGGTGGCTCACAACCATCTGTAATGAGATCGGATGCCCTATTCTGGTGTGTCCGAAGACAGCGACAGTGTACTCATAAAATAAATAAATAAATAAATAAATCTTTAAAAAAAAAAAAGAAGTAGGAGATCCTGTTGGCTGAATAACGGAGCCACTTAACAATGACTGTGACTAACCACAGGGATTGTCAAAGTGCTGTGGTCCAGGGTCAGAACGTTCCCAGCTTCCAATCCTTACATCAGTGGTTCTCAACCTTCCCTCGCTGTGACCCTTTAACACCTCCTCATATTGCAGTGACCCCTGACAATAAAATTACTTTGTTACTACTTCAGAACTGTAATTTTGCTACTGTTATGTATCATAATGTAAATATGTTTTCCCAATGGTCTTAGGTCACTCCGGTGAAAGAGTTCCTTAACCCCCCCCAAAGGAGTGGGGAACCCCAGATTGAGAACCACATACAAGTGTGACCTTATACAAATCCCTTAACCTCTGTGTCAGCTGGAGTGGGGAGGATAACAGTGTTACTGTGAGGACTGAAAGAATATGTCAAGCCCCTGCCTCATACATGGTGAGAGCTAGTCATGTGAAGTATCGGATAGCTTTAGCATGATGCAAATATGTGAACGAACACAGGTATTAATGGAAGTAGAGTGAACTGCAACAGTTCACAGTTAAGTCAGACTCACACTCACATTTCAGAAGAGGACATTAGATTCACCTGGAGTTAAAGTTACAAGTAACGGATCCACACAATCTGGATGCCAGGAATCGAACTCCTGGATCTCTTCAAATGCAGTAAGCACTCTTAACCACTGAGCCATCTTGCCAGCCACTGTTTGCTTGTCTTTACATTGTACTTTCATCTATCAATTTATCACGTGTATGAGTGTTTTGCCTGCGTGTAGGTATACCATGTGTGTGCAGTGCCTGCAGAGGCCAGAAAAGGGCGTCAGATCTCTTGGAACTGGAATAACAATTGTGACCATCGGTGTGGGTGCTAAGAACTGAAACCTGGTCTTCTGACACAGCAGTGAGTTCTCTGAGTCACTGAAACATCTATCCAGGCCAATTTTTTGTTTGTTTGTTTTTTGTTTTAGATATGGTCTCACATTATAGTTCAGGGTGATCTAGAACTATATACTCCAAGATGGCCTAGAATTCACGAGAATCATCTTTCATTCCCCTGAATACTGGTTTTATAAGCATGTACCCCCACATCCTGCTTGAAACCTCTTATATGAAATCCAGATGATGAACAGCTGCAGCAGTGGACTGGAGTCAACCAGAGCCTAGAGTGCTACAGAGGGCAGAGCTGGAGATGTGACCCAAGCCCTTAGGAGGAGCCCAGAAGATCATGTGTGGAACCCAGACATTGGAACAAGAAGCTGGAAAGCTGTAGTTGCCTTGAATACCCCACTCCTGGTACAAACTTCTGTCTTTAGTTAGGGTTTCTATTACTGTAAAGAGACACAATGACCAAAGCAACTTTTATAAAGGACAACATTTAATTGGGACAAGCTTACAGGTTCTGAGGATCAGTCCAGTCCATTATCATTATGACAGGAAGCATGGCAGTGTCCAGGCAGGCATGGTGCTGGAGGAGCTGAAGGCAAACAGGAGAAGACTGGCTTCCAGGCAGCTAGGATGAGGCTCTTAAAGCCCATCCCCACAGTGACATACTTCCTCCAACAAGGCCATACCTCCTAATAGTGCCACTTCCTGGGCCAAGCATATTCAAACCACCACATTCCATTCCCTGGCCCCCATAAGCTTGTTCAAACACATGAGTCTATAGAGGCCACACCTAGCCACAGAATAATGAAAAATACATTTAGTCCAACTTCAAAAATCCCATAGTCTATAACAGTCTTAACAATGTTATAAATCCAAAGTTCAAAGTCTCTTCTGAGATTCATGCAATCGCTTAACTCTAATCCCTATAAAAACAAACGTGAAAGGCAGATCACGTACCACCAACATCACAGGATATACATCATCATTCCAAAATATCATAGTGAGGAAATAGTGGACCAACGTTCCTTAGAAATTAATTCAACAAACCACCTCAGCTGGTGGTCTGGACTGTGTCTATCATACTCTGAGAACTGGGTGGGCCATACGTCACAGGTTCAAGTCTTGCAGCTCTTATCTGTGCTGTATTACCATAATGTGAGATATTAATTTGGCATTGAATAGGGATCCTTTGATTATAAATAAAGTGGTTAGTTGGGGTTTTATTTTTTAATTTGCTTTCTGTTTGAGAATTTTACTTTCTGTTTGGGTTTTAAATTTTGTTTTGTTTTTGCTTTTTTAAAATTAGAATGTAACTATACAGCCAGGACCTGGAGCTTACTATGTAGGCCAGGCTGGCCTCAAACTCAGAGATCTACCTGCCTTTCCCTCCTCTGCCCCGAAATTTTTGCTTTGTTTTTATACAGTCTTTCTATTTAGAGGTGTATGGCATCAAAGTTGCAATCTTCCTGTGTTTACCTACATAGTGCTAGAATTATAGACATGTACCAGCATGCCCAGAACTTGGACTCTTAAAACACAAAACAAAACAGAAACATTGTAGCAGTGGTGGCTCATGTCTTTAGTCCCAACACTTAAGAAGCAGAGGCAGGTGGTCTGCAGAATGAGTTGCAGGACACCCAGGGCTATACAGAGAAACTTTGTCTCAAAAAACAAAACAAACGAACAAAACCTGAAGGGGATCTCGATGTTGCTCATGTAGAATCTTAGCATTCAGAAGACAAGCGTAGGCATTTGTAAGTTGGAAGCCAAGTGGTATAGACAGAGAATTCCAGGTCAAGTAAGGCTTCACAGTGAGACCCTGTCTAAGGGTGTGTGCATGGGAGTTGGTTAATGAAAAATCATGGGGTGCTCTTCATTAAATATCTACGTCATGTCAGAATCCAAACCAATCTGCCCCCCATCTCCTCTCTCTTCCCTTTCCCTCTCTCTCCCCTCTCCCCTCCCTTCTCCCTTTTATTTTTCTTCTTGCACTTAGGCTGGCTACTGGCAGCTTCGATGTTGACAGCCTCAGTAATAAACATTTTAAAGTTCTTGTTCTAAGAGTTCTAGGCAAGATTGCTAAGACTGGCCCAGTTGGGTTGAGTGCTCCTCCATTAATAATCAAATGGCCAGGAACTTGGTGCAGTGCACTAACATGGCAGCACTGGAGAAGACAGAGGAACTGTTCTCAGTGGAAATGGGGGGGTTAGGGTTGAGCCAACAAACCCATAAATACCACTTGAAGTGGCAGGTCTTTCTGTTGGATGCTTTAGTCACTCTGAAACATTTAGGTATGTTCTTTCTCCTGACACATGGTTCCCATCTCTTTACGTTACAGTTTTATTGCTGTGAACAGACACCATGGCCAAGGCAACTCTTGTAAAGAAAAACATTTAATTGGAGACTGGCTTACAGTTCTAGAGGTTTAGTCTATTATCATAGTGGGAGGCAAGGCAATGTGAAGGCAGACATGGTATTGGAGGAGCTGAGGGTTCTGCATCTCCATCAGAAGGCAGCCAGGAGGAGACTGAGTTCTAGAGGCAGTCAGGAAAGAAGTCTCTTCCATACTGGATGGAGCTTGAGCCCATCCTACATACTTCCTTTAACAAGGCCACACCTTCTCCAATAAGGCCACACACCCTAATAGTGCCACTTCCTGTGGGTCAAGCATTCAAACATATGAGTCTATGGGGGCCAAACCGATTCAAACCACCACACCATCTTTGAAGTTTTACCTCTGGGGTAAAATCTCTATCTAGAGTTCTAAAAGC